ACAGTATAAGCTACATTAATTTTTGGCAGTATTTATTACTTTGAAGTAGTCTCTTCTTGTCCAATACTTTTAGCTCTTACTGCAATAAAAATGATATGTGTGTATTTAACTTCTTAAATAAGCTCGTACATGTGTAGTAGTATCATACGATTAGTTTAATTGGGGCGAGCATGAGCGAGACCCACTCTAATAGGTCTATTTTGCATTACTTCTTTATTTGTGAACAGAAGATAACAATTTATAAATCAGTATACTACTGATAAATTTGGACCACACGGACAAATAAGATTAATTGCTCATGCTCGCCCCTCAATGTTTACATTCACTTAGTGTACATGCACACTATGAACATCCATTACTAATATGAATGAGTATTATGTGTATATCAAGGATCAATAAAAAGCAGCATTAGAATGAAATAGCTATAAATGAATTCATTTTAATTAAAATCAAGTAATATTATATGCATGCATTTGACTCACTGATGTACTCAGCTGTTGCATTTTGATCACATTTTCTAAGAGCTTCAATTAATGTGCTTAAGTTTGCTTTTGCAACATCAGCATTCTCCAGCCATTTCACTAGACACTCTCTAACACAACCATTAGTATCTCTCGGATAATCTCTCTTAATTGCTTGTAGTGTATTAGTTAAACCCAAACCAAGACCAAACTCAAGCCATTTTGCATTTGAAAATTGACCCTCTTTAAGTAACATTCGTACATCATGCAAATGTGTTATGTTCAATAGAACATCTTCTTCTATACCTGTAATTATTACCATACACTATTACTGTTAAAAGTTAAATTACCTGCTGAGCTAGAGTCAGATTCAAGACCAAACCAGCACGAGTAAGTCTCCTCATCATTTTTACTGATGTCACTTGAATCACACTTGCAATATGCTGCCTTTTTCTCTTCATCCACGATACAATAACACTGCTCTTTCTTATTGGGACAAGGAAATGCATTGGCATAATTCTGTTTGACATTGATGGCAACAGAGCTTTTATTAATAGCTGTAGTAATCAGCTCACGAAACTGTGGACAATATTTCCGTGGACGATAATCCTGTCGACCTTTGAAATAGACTTCAATATGTTTATAGCGATTAATGATATAAAGTGTAAAACGTTTTTCTTTGATCCAGACCCAAAGTGAAACAGCATTACGATACATGAGGTGTGGAGCAAATTCAACCTTGTATTCTTTTTGTTTAAGCAAATGGACAAAAATTAAAGGAAAAATTCCTTGAGGAACAAGGACATTTTTTTTTGATTCCGATTCATTTTTTGCCTGCTCTAGCCACACATAGTAAAGAGGCTTTATACCTTTAGGTAGATCATTATCAGAGTTGTTATTGTAGGCAGGTAAAGCAGAAGGAAGGAAATAGCTACTATCCTGGGACTGGCTTTTCAATTCTGTAATAATATGAAGATGTTGAAGCAAGTTAATAAAGTAATCTGGTGTGAAATCATTTGAGAATACACCAGAAAACTTTTCAAGAAGAACTTTTTTGAAACAGCCTCTTTTCTTAAGATGTGTCATCTCATCCTGTGATATATTTGGTACCAGTGATGTTGCTGGTGTTGGATAACTGACATAAGTAAGAGCTAACAAATGTGAAAGAACGTTAATGATTTTTTGAGGGTTAACGAAAACTAGTTCTGGTTTGATCTCACGAAGGTATAAAATGATTGTGCTATTGTGAAGAAAGGTTAGAGCTATTTCAACATCTTCTTCGTTCATGTAAAGATCTTTTTTACAATCTTTAATAACTTCTTTTTTAGTAACAAAACCTTTATCTTTTGCCTTTTTTTCCAAGTAAATCTCAAACACAAAGCAATGCATCGGGACTTTTATTTCAATGGTGACTTCTGTACATTTGGACATTTTCTCTAAAATTTTTCTGCTAATTTCTTCTCTTTTGTCAGAGTCTTTTTGCAATGTATCAACTGGATATATTACAGAATTTTCATGAACTTCAATGATACGTTCTGTTAGTTGAGGCAATATGTTCTTTTGAGACATTAATTCTTTACTAATTTCCTTCACCATTTTCTCAGCATCTTTTTTGTTAGTTCTTTCAATCAGTACATCATAATGAGTACCCAGAACAAAAGACATTGAGTGTTTAGGCTTATTACGCTCACCATCTTTTTTTTTCTTCATGAATGGAATATCAAGTTGTTTCTGAACTGACGCTGATGAAACCACAGAATTGAAAATCTTACGATTTGAACATTCATCATGACATTTAAATTCTTCTCCATTAAATCGATACATGAACTCAAGCTTATCATCAAGACCTTTTGAAATATCCAGTGTGATGATGTTAAGAGTAGCTGCTCTAGTGAACACAGGTAATAGCTCTTGGTATGCTGGTTGACCACCAGAATCAACAATGTACACCCACTTCTCACTTAACTGAGCTCCTGCTTTAGAAATACGATGAACAATGTTCTTAAAAACATTTTCAAAGTCACTGTTATCCTCCAGTGTTTCTTCTTGCTTACTTTCTTTGACACTTTCTGATTCTTCTGGATCAGAGGATGAATGCTTTGAATCAGGTTCTGAATCAATTTGCTCTTCATTACAAGAGTCTGTATGTTCTTCATGTGTTTCTTTTAATTGTTCCTTTTTAAAGGCATCCTCTGATTCATTCAAATGTAACTGAATTTGCTGAGCAGCATTATCTTCTACAGCTTCTTTTAAACTTAATGCTAATCGCTCCAACAATTTGTCTTCAGTGATTCTGTTCCATGTCTCTTTACCATCAAAAGCTATTCTTAGAGCTTTGACAGCTTTACAAGCTATTGGTGTACTGTCAGTGGTATGTTTAGAGACTAGAGTGAGGCCAGAATCAGCAGGTGGTGAGCTAGTGGCAGATGGGGCATTGGTGTGTGAATGAGATGCAGATTTTAAGGGTGGAGGATCTTCATTAAGTAGAAGACATTGTGCACAGGTTTTCCCAGATCCAGCAGGACCAATCATGAGTACACGAGTAAGTGTCAGCATCATGATACCTCCTTTACACCACTTCTCTAGAATACCTATTGTAAGTTCACATTAATGTTTCCATAAGCCATACAATTAATAATTAAAGGAATTTACACAGAGCAAAGTTGAAAATTTACTAACATTTAACACAAGTAAGATATTGAACAAAAAAGACATCTTTTATTTATAAGCCATGTATGTTGAGCAATCGAGAGCATCATGCTATAGTTGCTAATTACTCTAAATATTATCTAACCTGATTTTTTCAGATCTTCAACATGAACTATTTTTTCTTCTACAGAAATAAATATAGTGAACCAAATTGTAATGAACGTTCCATAAAATTTTTATCACAAAAATCCTTTAACAATTTTTTGCTATGATATAAGTACATATACTATCACTCCATCTCTACTTACATGCATATCTACAGATGTTACATAAGAAATAAATATTAAAATTTAAAATCTTAATTTTTATATCAAATTGGAAAGCTTATAATATACATAGTTTATCACTCTTACCATAATTAACAGAGTCACCCTCGGGTTCCTGCTTTTCCACATCATCCATGCCATAATTAAATGGGTCATCATTACTTAGTAGATTTCTCAAGCATTTTTGAACAAACCTTGCACATGAGACAGCTCCAAACGGTTGCCACATTTTGTTTTTTTCTTCATTTCCCCAGTCAACGATAGATTTTATGACGATCCATTCAAATCCTCCTTCTCTCTTAGCAACCCGATTTATTCCATTTGCTTCCATTTCTCCTCCAAGCGCTTGTGGAACTTGTTTAAATATTTTCTGTTTTTCATCTTCACTGCGAAACTGTGTGAACTCAGAGGCTAAGACACCAACGTGAACTTTAACTGATTTACTTTCAAATGTAAATAGACAATCTTGACTAAGCAAATTACAAAGTTCCCTTCCACACTGGTATTCTTTTGTATTAATGATCAATTCGGGTCCTTCATAACGCTTCTCAGTGATGTCTGCAATGCTTTTGGCAACAATAATGTCAGCTAATTTTGTTTTATCACCAAGTTCTTCAGTTTTGTCCTCCTTTGCTCCATAGCATATCCCAATAGCAATGACATACTTAGCTTTCACATCATTTTGTACTGAACTAAGAATTCTTTCAGTTTCATTTGGACCCTGGCCTGTTATTATCACTGCAACATTACATGGGCCATACTTCCCCAGGATGAAATTTGCCGATTGATCTGTAGTGACAACTTTAATATATTTACCATCACTACTAGGAGGCTCAGTTGCACCCATCACAGCACGGTATTCTACAAGTCTGGCAGTCACCAGAATGACATTGACTTTTTTTATAAATTCCTTTTCTTCTTTTGTCAGTTGTGTGATGTATTTTTTTTTCATTTTGTTCTCATGATCAATGTCCTCCAGTTTTGGGCAATATTTGCTGACATCTGGAGGTGGATCTGACTCTATTGTACATGTTAATTAGAAATTATCAAAATTATTCTAACATACTTTGGTCCTCACTGATAGTCTTGTCTTGGCCGATTGCTGCACTATCAAGTGGTTCACTGTAAATACAACAATAGAGTGTAAATCACCAAGTAAAATACAGCAATTGTAGTGTATAGAACATTTACCGGTACTTTGAATCAATCTTTTCCTTTTCAGCAATTCCTTGTGTTGTCTCATTGCTTGTTGCCAAGCCTCCCTTGCCTGCATTAACAATAATTAATAAAAATGAATTGTAATGACAATCAATTAATTAACTGTTAAACCTATATATTCCAGAAGTTTAGATTTTGCTTCACCAAGTTGATCAGGAAAGTCATCACACAGTTTTATTAATGTATCCCAATTGACATCTTTATCAGCATCAAACCACCTCTGGAATACAATAATAAGATTTTTAGTTGCTCCTGGCATTGGCATCAGATCAACCACATTTACACCCAAACCAGCTCCTATTAGCATGTAATGCTGAGCAGAAGAAACAAATATCTTTATGACAGCTGCCAAAGTAAGCTCCTTGTCTATACAATAGAGGCTTTATAATTTTAAACAGTAAAATATTTGTACATACCTATTATCGGACCAGGATTGAGTTCAACATCTCCTGATAAGAGGAGGAGCATACGTAGACAAACAATCAAATAGAAATCATTGTAAATCATATTAGAACTGCAGCCTCCAGGTAAGACTACTGACTGGAGGTAATTTGTATCAGTAAGAGTAACACCAGTAGTACATTGTACTTGGCAGCAGTTACCTAATAATAAAATACCAGTAAATATACAAGTACAAAGTTGTAATTGTTGTTTACCTGTTGGAGGAATCATCAAGATGTGTCTTAATAAAGAGAGAAAAAGGAGGAAAGCAATAAGAGACAGAGCTGCTGGCACTGGCAGTTTAGATGTCTTCTCTCCTGATGTAGTACTGCCTGACTTGCTGTCTACTGCAGCTTTGAATGAGTGAGAGTGGTGGCCATTAGCTGGTCTACTGGAGGCAGCTTGACAGTAGTTCCACAGTCCAATACTTGCTCTCCATTGACAGATATCAATCATCTTGTATATGTGCGGGACCACAATCTGAAACTTCTGAAATCTACTCTACACTTGCATAAATTTATACTCTAGTGTACAGGAAGTAGGTGTATACTTTATTGTCTATATCACTGGAGGAGTGGGTTGAGGTTTTACACTAAAAGTATTTCCTCTCTTTTTATCTAATGCAGTTATTTTACTGGTATATGTACTGCATTGTACATTTTAAAAGTATGAATAGAAGCAACAGTATGTATTATGTACTATCGTAATCTACTCTTGATACTATCAAGAGTACATAATAGGTATTATGTACTCTTGGTACTATTGATAGAGGTATAATTTCTCTAATATGATACATAAATAATAGAAGAGGTATTTATAAAGAGTCATGTATTGAACCATATAATTAATAAAGCACTGTATCAAACAGTACATTAATCTTTATAGTAAAATAAGGAAGGGTTTGTATAATAAATGTATAAGAATTTCTATATCTATTGTCTTTCTTGTAACTTAAACTTCTCCTGTCATTTTTTGTATCACTTTCTAGTTAAATGGTCCTCTTACTTCTAACATGTACATAATCTAATATACTGCCAGTGCTAATTCATTCTTTGTTTATAATATTCAAGTTATCAGTACATTTTGTATGAGAAAGAGAGTGAATGAGAGCAGAGGGTTGGAGGAAGGATGATAGAGAGTATTCTGATTCCCCTTATAGTTTATACAATAAGTACATCTGTATTTTAGTTTATGTACATTACACTATTCTATGTGTTATTAAGGGTATAATATCTTTCATTGAAGTCCACTGCAGGCTTAATATGGTCTTTGTGTTTTACTTTATTATTTCTACTCAATTTGTATGTCTACTGTGCCTCTGCACTATTCTACACTCACCTGACTTATTGTTTTCTTGTTTTTGACATTGCCATTAATATTTTTTTATTGCTGACTGTCCTCACTATTTTTTATCTATTATTTAGCTCTAGTTAGCTATTAGTATACATTACAACAAATATACTTAAGTAGATGTACAGGTAGTTCTTTTATCCAGACACTAATGGTAAACATCAAAAGAGGAGTGGGAGTATGTGAATGAACTATCATTGTATTATATTCATGGATCATTGTCACATGTCATAACTGTTCATAGTGTCCCTCTACTACTGTTATTATTGTAGTTCCAGTGAATGTGACTAAATTTGGTCATTTCACAGAAATTCTATTTCATGGATAAAATTATTATAATAAATACAATAAGTGATCAGTAATTGATGGTATATAGTAATATACAATGATATACAGCTAAAGTCATAATCACAAGAT